AGAAAGACACATTATATTTAACCTCTACATGTCCAGTGGATACAAGCCTTACACTTATGCAAAGCACTTTTACTCACATTTCGAAAACAAGTAGGATTTTTTAGATAGCATTTTTACTATGTTTAATACAATTTAATTTAGAAGTAAAGTTATCATATACATCCATCATTAAATGCAAATGATTAAGTCATAATTTTCTGTAATATATAATAAAGCTATCTTAAATGCTATTTTAAATGTAGACCATGGATAAATAAAGTAGAACCTATTTATTGCTTAAAAAAAAACAAAATAAAAATAAATATATAAACATTTTTATTGTGTTTTTAAATAATGCCAAAAACCAACTTTGAACTTATTTCAAGATCCCGAAATATGAAACTACTTACCAAACGTTTCCTTATATTTAAGTAAAGTTTCGAATATTGTAATCTATTTTAATTTAATATTATTATGAAGTTACTATTACTTCCAAGCTTTTTCTCAGACAAGTTGTTACATTTTTGTGAGTTAATTAGGGGTTTCAATGCTTATATATTACACATTACTATTTTTCTAGCCTAAATACAGTCTCTAAGTGAAGTTTACCTAGGTATGGTGAATCCCAGAGATACCCAAGATACCTGAAGCTTCGTAATGAGTATTATGACATTTAAAATTTTACTAACACTAACTGTATAAAATTCAATTGCAGAATTGTACGTATAAATTGACCAATCATAAGAAAGTTACCCTATGGAGTTATTTATTACTGCATTTTTACGTAGAAACAAGTAAGTGCTTGGTCTCTAGTTATGAGTTCCCTGGACAATCAATGTCTATAATAACCAGTTTCGATCTAATATGATTTACAATAAGTAAAAAGGCATAAATAATGCGTATGACACAGAAAAACTATATCTGATATTGCATAAAACAAATTTTCATATATATTTTGATATATATATATATAAATCATCGATTTACTTAACATGTGCCGCTAACTATAATTCTAAACGAAAATGGATAGTTATTAGAACTTAAGAATGCTTAAGTAACTCACTATTAAAAGACAAAATGCAAGACAAAAGTCCTTTAAATCTTCACATAAAGTACATAATCCATGGCGTAGTTATTTTTGTGAGTTGGGCGTGAACTTCCTATGTACATTGCCCTTGAGCGATATGTTTTTCCTAATCCATCATATTGATACCACCCTATGTTTTTAACATTTTCAAGGCAAATATCTCGATGTGGTGGGTACCATCACAAAAGAAAACTCCCGTAAGACGATATCTAAAATAAGTAGTAAAAAAATGAGTTTATAAAGTTGGTAAATAAAATAAAAATTAATAACAACCTTTACCTTTGTCTTATATTTACATCTTCTGAAGGAAAATTAATTTCTTCTGAAAGATCCTTATTTTCAAAATATGTTCCATCGTCATTAATACTAATACCTGTAATATTGATCACGATAATTAAAGCAGCCATTGATCAATGTGTCTTGTTGATTTAACTTTGCTGGCACATAGGTATAAATGTCTAAGAAAAATGGTAGAAAGTATAAAGAAGTAATAAAAGATAAAAATAAGATTACTTAACTTTACATTCCCAGTCTCTACTGAAGTATATTTATCAATCTTAAAAGCATTCTCGGGAATATTTATTGATCCTTTTTCATTCATGGTTTTGAATTCTGCACCACATGAAATAATATAAGGTTCTTGCCAAATTTTAAGACACGTTTCGAAGTAGTTACTTTTTTGTAACACAGATGCTTGCGTTTTTCTATATATATTTATAAAAGATAATTGGATTTTGTGAGCATTATTTAAAAATTCCCAATGACAAAAAACAAAAGCAATAAAAAAAAAAAAAAAAAGTTATATATTAAATCAATACAAAGGTTAAATTAATAATCCAAGACGGCAAGAATAAAATAATAAGTAGTTACATAAGTATAATATCATAAAAATTTGTTAAATGCAAAGCTTTTTTTAGGCAGTAGTTTGAATCACATATAGATGTTATTTTACTTCTAATGACAAGAAGATTTCGGTCCAAAGAATCATGAAAGAATTGTTCAAAAAACTGTTCTGAAAGTCCCTCAAATAAATCTATTTTATCAGTTTTTGCTAATTTGAAGTATGATGGCAAATTTTTAATCCAAAGAAACTTAGCCTCTATCCATTTTTTTGTTTCATTAAATCAAAAACTTGAAGAAGAAGGTGAATACACGAATTTGGATCATATAATGTGAAAGCAGTAGCTTGTTTATAAATATTTTGGTGAGTAAAAGTGCTTTGCATAAGTGTAAGGCTTGTATCCACTGGACATGTAGAGGTTAAATATAATGTGTCTTTCT